CGTACAATTACCTCGGCTGAGTTCAATTCCACTCACTTTATCATCGCACGCGCCGGTGTATTTCAATTAACTTTGATATTTTTTGTTAGCTCCCTCTCTCTCTCTCTCTCTCTCTCTCTTTCTCTGTCAAACCGGCATTATTATTCTAATTAGCATTCACGCGAGCGCGAGAATTGCACGGAAGTCTGACATCAATAGCGAACTGCTGACGGGGTAGCAAGCGACTTCCACTTAAATACGACGTAATCTCGCATTACCATAATCTCTTCTCAGCCGCGGGAAAACCTCTATACTCAATTTATTCGCATTGGTGCAACGCACGACCGAGGGTTGAGTGTATTTCACGATAGATCTACGTGAGTATTTCACGACAGATCTACGTGGAATCACGAAATCACGGGATCTGAACGCGTGTGCCGCGTCTCCAGAATGAAGAGTAATCGTCATGTAGCGAAACACGTAACGAATTGCGATGCGGAGCGAGCTCTATACTGTTATTAGAATTTACGTAACACATTTTGGAATTTCAGCGGACTCTCAATGCTGTGACAGCTATAATATCCCGGTGATAACGTAAGAAAATAACTGAATTCTGAAGAATTAAATCCGACATTGTATAATTGCGCGAACGTAGGTCGAGAAAGCTACAAAAAAAAAAAAGAAAAAAAAAACACGAGTGATTATCATCGCTACAATTACGGTTACGTAAAACGCAATTATATAATATCAGATTTAATTCTCCAGAATCAGGTTACATCGCGTTGTTGTATATTATTGTTATTATTGTATAAAGTAATGAAGAATCATTTGCACACTAACACTATTGATTACTCTTATCGTTAGAAAATATGTTCTAACGTATTTTTATATGTTAAAGGTGATGTGACGAGAGAAAGTAATGCGCGAACTTCTTCTCGTTAAAGAAAGACCGATTCAAAAGTCACGATGATAAGAATAATAAATAAATTTTTGTAAAATAATTTTTATAAATATAAATTAATTTTTACGAGAAAAAAAAATAAAATTGTACGTAGATATAACGTACATCTCATATTTAATTTGTTATTTCTCATTTGACTTAATTAACTAACGATGGCATTTATAATTTTGTGCCGATATATCATTTATTTATAAATTCTATTTGTGCGAATGTAAAAGTATTGGCCACGCCGAGATGAAACTCGATATTATGCAATCACTTCTGATTACGTAGTCGACAATATTTTCGACTCGGCGTGCGATACAGTTCAATCGGAAATAGGGTACTCCCCGACTCTCTTCAGGACGTATCGATCCTCATTTACACCGTAGGCGCGTTGTGTTCGCGTTTACGTGAAAACAGTCATTCATTGTCACAGCGTGTCGGGTCAGAACGAAATGCAAACGCGGCCGCACGTTCGCATTGGGGAAATCCCACGATTTACAGTAGGAAGGACGTGTGCTGCGTTCGCGCGAAATCGCTGGGTGAGTTTCGATCGTGAGTTCATCTCATACATCCTGTTTGCCGGATTAGATTGTCAGCGTGTCACCGGAATTCTCTCATAAGCGTAGATCAGCGAATTTGAAATAAACCCGCATTTGCTTTTGCTCAACAAAAAGTAGCACACACATCTCGCGATGAATAATAAATGAAATAAATAATCCGAAGAGAAATATAAACCAAACAAACAAAAAAAAATAATAAATTATCTCCTGGAAGGAGATAAGAAGACCGCGAGATTTAAATCTCGGATACTCTCGACTTGCTTAAACTTGCGCATTATCCCAAATTACTTGAATCACGTTATTTAAATGCAAATCGCATCAAATTCAGTTGCACGAGGATTTTTTACGTCCTGACTGAAATTAAAAAAAAAAAAAAAGAAAAGAAAGAAGGAAAAACCGTTTAAGGGGGCGTAGCTTTTAAAAACTCGTAGAACCCTTAAGTGGTCGCAACTTATTTTACAGGCGCGTTTCGTCCGTTTTCTTCCGTAACCTTAAACATTCACGATGTGCGCTATTTAGCTTGTCTTGCGTGTTGAGTTGTCCTCGTTAAACAATTCCTCGTTCACGGGATAAACCCACCGGCACCACGATCTTCCTATCTCGTTTCACCCACATTTCTTTCAACCAGGCGAGTATTTAATCTCGGTTAAAAGTACCATTTTCCTTTCTGCTCTTCGCCTCTTCGCGTTGCGAATAGACGGTGGATCTTGCGGCTGGATCCAACAGAAAGCAAGTATATGGTCGCGGTAACGAGGTAATTAAGCCGCGGTGTCGTATAAACGTGTACCGACTGCGAAAGATGTGGTCTTTAGGGAGAAGCGCGCTTACTTTTGCTCGTCCAAACATACAACCGAAGATGTCTGGCTTGAGTTAAGTTTTTACTTTACGCTTAGTTTCTTTAAAACGTTAAAAAAGACGCTCGCGCGTACACTTAATACCGTAAATAATTCTTCTTAATTTCACGCAATACACGAAGAAAGTAAATTATTTTTACACATTGTAGTTATGTAAAAAAAAAACGAGACAAAATTTAAAAAATAATCGATTTAAATGTTTCAATCGAGACGTTATTATTCACATTCAGCTTTACGTACTTTTTTCTTCTATACATATTAGGTACTTGTTAACTTTTCAGCGCGAATAGATCGCGCGGCGAGTGACAAATCTTTCCGAATCCGCTCGATATCGCATATATTGGTGTAATTTTATTTTACGGCCCGCGCGAGACGGGAATATTTCGCGTCTCGCTCGTTCTTTAATCGATTCAAGTGGAAGTGTTCCTTCGCGGTGCTCTTTCCTCTGCGCGAGCACGAAAAGTGGAAAACTTCGTAGTGGAGCACTTCGGTACTTCGAGCGACTTCGTTCTTCGCGTATATATATATCGCGCTCATCAAATGCACAGCCATTTCGGAAGTATGCCTCGCTTATTTCGTTTGAATAGAAAATTAGCGACACGTGGAATTGCCGTCGCATATTTTCGCTTCCGTCTCGCGCCTCGGCGATGTGGAGAGAAATAAATAAATTCCACGAGGAGGAAGGAAAGAAAGCGCGAGAGAACGAGAACGAAGCAGAGAGCAATAGCACCGAGAGGTACTACGACAGATTGGAGTGACTAAAAATACAGAAGAGGCAAGAAGAGGCGCTAAAAAAGAGGTGCCGATCGACAATTGGAGCACCCTGGTAACAAAGTTTCCGCGTTTTCGGTCGAATTAGACGAAAGTCTAGTTTTTGCTATTCACGTTCGTGTTTTTTCGCCGACAAAATTGGCGTTTACGCCCAAAATTTCAAGTTTCATCGTCGGGAAAACGAGGACTTTCTCTAAAATCGAGCTCGAGATTTGGACGAAATTTATGCGCGCGTTTTATCGGAACGACGGGATTAGCTATATACACGGATGACACTTTATCGAGTGTCGGCGTTAGAGAACGAGGGGATAAATGAAGTTAGTGTCGGGATTTCTCAACTTGGAGGAAACGACGCGCGACGCGAGAGATTGTTCGCGTACACGCGTAATTCTTTAACTATGCGCGATAAATTTTCGGCGGTGTGTCGCGAATACGAGTGTCGCGATACGAATACGAATACGTAGTCGGGACAAATCCAAATGCGAAATTGATCGCAAGAAGCGAGGAGCCTCTGCTGAGCAATGCGAAAACTTTGTCCAATCGAACGAGAGAATACGTAAATATATACACGGGTAATGTTATCTCTCTTAGACAGTTGTGATCTCTCTCGCTTACAAGACGGAAGGGAAGAAGATTATCATGTAACGAGTATTTTATTACAAAGTGAATCCGGATACAACCGGATCAGATGGAGGATCCTGGGCCGTTTAAAGCGAATAGCGAGCTAAAGTAGATCGAATTGAACGCTTCGGGTGAGCTTGTCTTATCGCTTAGACAAGTGGATCATAACGGATAATCCTCGAGATTATTGTATTGTTTCGTCATCGATTGTGATTCACGAATAGTTGCACAGAAAGCTAATTGGTTAAGAAGGGGATTATAATTAAACTGGCAATTGGAGATAAATTAATTATACATCCGTTGTAAACTTCAATTATCACAGTCGCAACAAATTTCTGATTGAGAAACACTTTGTGCATTTTCAAGCTTTACTTTTTTTCCACGTGTTCTTCTGTTGCTTTCTTATATTTGCGACATTTCTTCTTACATTCGCGTCGTTGTCACCGATCACGCGCTTTACTTTTTTTATAGCCGCAAGTTTATGAATCGGAAAACTTTTCTCGCGCCGGAATTAACGATGCAGCCCAAATAGGGAATAGCCCGCAATTGGGAATTCGCACAACGAAAAAAAAATAAATCCCGATCTCTCGTGAGAAAAGCTCACGTGTCGCGGGGAGATGTCAAAAAGGGTGACGTCGTCACGTCTCTGACGAGAGAGAGGCGCACACCGCGTATACTTGGCGCGCAGAGGGGAGGGAGACTATCGGACATATATAAATAGATTTTTCAACGTCGCCTGCCTTTGCTTTCTCGCAATATGTGCACCCTGTAGATTTTTTTTTTTCCCGCCGTCGCGTCGCCGCTGTTGAGAGCGCCGCGTATTTATTTTCCCTCGTTTTATTTATCCCTCTTTTACCGACTCGCATCGGGGCGATTCGATAAATGACAAAGTTCAGACTGCAGATAAGCGGCTTTTGCACAAATCTCCGTCGTACTTCGTGCCCGAAAATTCCATTGCAACGATACCCATAAACTTTGAAGAGATTATCGATTCATTATCTTGACTACCGATTCGCTCGTGTATGTTTGTATATGCATCGTCAAGCGGGTTAGATGGAGTATGTATATCAGATAGACCAGAATGTGTACACACACACACATACATACACACACAGACAGAGAGAGAGGGAGAGAGAGAGAGAGAGAGAGAGGGGGATTTGTAATTAACGCCGTGTACCGAGTGTGTGATCGCTGTATAATTAACAAAATTATGCTAGCGAGTATAGTATAATCAGGTTAGCTCACGGCCAAGTAACGAGAGCGCGGTTGCTTTGTTTATAATATACATATTAAATAAGAAAGTGATGTGACAGTTTAGAAGACAAACAAGAGACGGAGGTTAGAGCGACGTAATTAATTATTGTTCAGTCGTGTGTTAATCATTTTGAGATTGCTATCATTCGCGGAACTCTCTCTCTCTCTCTCTCTCTCTCTCTCTTTCTCAGTGACATTTTGCCAATTGATTCGCAAGTTTGCCGCAAAATTAATGTAATAAATATTAAATCGTGTCGTTGTATTCAGATTTTGTAAAATTCATATTATCAATGCATGGGTTAGCAGCAATTTGTTCGCTAAATTATAAATTAGCGAAATTATCCGCGCGCGGAATTGTTATATACGACTGAAACTTTCTCATTTCCGAGTATTCGCGCTCTGCGTACCCATCCTGCTGGAAATATTCTCTTTTTCTCTACTGTCACAGAGCGCAGCGCGGCAATTGACATAAAATCGAATCGGCGACGCGGGACCTTTTCAATGTACAACGTTATCTTTCGATCCTCGTGAAACTTCGTAAGTAAATTATTATCAGTTTGACTTATATTAAACCGGAGCGAATAAATAGAAACTGTAGTGAATACCTACACTAAATCGCATTACAGAACCACCTCATTGTAATATGATTGAATTTATCTTCTATTTGAATCCTTCTTCTCCACCGAGTCGTGCGCAATCTTGTTCACGATTCAAGATACTTTCTCGCGCTGCAAAATACAGAAACGATCAAAACTACAAAGTGAATATTTGTCTTATTTAATATCACATCTCGATGTGTGCGGAGAGATAATACATACAATTTGTCGCACGCTTTAGTCAACAAATAGAATCGCGCAGAAAATTCGTAATAATTAAATGTTCTTAATTTATTGTTTTTATTTCAAAGTTTCCAACATTACATACCTTGGGAGTAATTGTGACCTATTTTAGTAGCACTGGGGAGTCCGGCACTTTAGAGAGCTGCCTGCGAGATTAATTAATCACACACCACATTTTGCTGTATTATTACTCATTAATTCACGAAGACAAATGGCTCCACTGTATGCACATTAAAGTACGTATAAATAATAACCTCCACTTAAAGAAAGTAGAAAACTGTAGAAAACACATTACTCACGTCACTTGTTACGTAAACGCACGTGTCGCTGTTGCGCGCGTCCAGAACTCTCTGTCTCGCTCTTTTTTTCGCAATGAGACAAAAATAAGTTTCTCTTCTCTCGAGAGAGCACGATTACCGTTCAATTGTCATAAAATGCTTCGCGAGAAGGTGACTCGTTATCGCGTCAAGATCCTTGAGCAAAACAAACACGGGGGTAATAGCAAATCAACAGCACGTGACTCATTTTAATTTATCCCTACGGGAGCTGAGAGCGAGAGACAAAGCTCTATTTTCACGACCAGTAGTAGTGCAGCTTCGCTATTAGAGCCAGCCACGGAATGGATCGGGTCTCGAATGGACGTCAGAACAAAGCGCAGCGCTACGGGCGATGCAGCAGTAAAGGCAAACGCCGCCTTCATTCGCGGTAGGTAGGAAACTATTCGCAACGCTACAGGCGCAACATGGTCCGGCCGCAGCCGTTGCGGCCGACCTACAATCGTCTTCCGGAATAATAGCGTACGTACCTATTTCGCGAAATGAGTAGCGATCGCCTCGGGAAACACTGCGCTCTATATTTTTTTTTTTTTTTTTTTTTTTTTGACTAGAAAAACCGCGACTGAGATAATATTAAAAAAACATTATTGTTGTCTGAAACAACAACGGTAAGGTGCTTTCTCAAATAGACCATTTTACTGTAACAGAAGATAAATATTATCGTAAGTGACGGATAAACGCAATAGTTTCTTACATCCGCGTTTTGTTATAGCTCTCTACTAACTAGCTATACATCTCGCTCGCCAAGATTCGATCTAACAAGATTTGAAAAATATCCGTTATCACACGATCTCTCTTCCGTAAATCTATATCCGGGCCGGATATCTGCGCGCAATTATTACAAGCTCGGGTGTAACGAGCGGATCGTGCACGGACAGACAGGGAGATAGGTGTCCGAGCCGAGTATCTCCGAGGAACGTGTTCTCTTTGGTCCATTTGCAACCGTAGTCGGTTCGCTATTCCCACGAGGCACTTCGTTAACCCCGTGAGTGTGCACGTGATCGTATTCGGCCTCGTCGTATACGCGGGCCTCGGTTGCATAATGCAATCTCCCACCCGTATATATGCTCGCGCGCGCACCGCGTGTAACGATTTCCGCCGCGCCATCACGAACAATTTATCGGAGAGCTCGATCGTCAGTATGTGACCGTTTGTAACTTTTGCCTGAAAAATTGAACGTAATTCGAAGCCAGCTGCGGGCGCGTCAATGCTGGATTTTGTTACGCGAATCACGCGCGTCGATTAACACTCGTCAAAATACATCGTATATTTTCTATATTCAATGTATGTACGTATATATCGAAAAGGTACTCTCAACAAAACATTAAATAATCACATACAGTGTACCGTTTCATTCTAATGTTGATGCGTTGTAATAATTTCACGAAATTTGTTTATTTGCCTGTGGCATATATGGTAAATATATTTTTATGCAAAATAAACAGTTTTTTTTTCTCTTGTGTGCAATAGCAGTATCGACTTGTTTTTGTTTTCTTTTTTTTAGAAAAAAATTTCTGTCTAATATTATCTGCCTCTGTGTTTCGTACGATTTTTATTCTATAAATTGAACATATCTCACTTTGCATCAATGCTTTTTGATTGAATTGAAATGAGAAACAACAAACTTTTTTCAAAGATTCACAAGCGATCAATTTGCCAGCAGATTATTTAACCGGTAAACGAAGAGTGAAAGAACAATTTTTCCTTCTTCTTTTTGTTCTTCTTCATCTTTGTTCGTTTTAGAGCGATCATTGGATCTTGGTCTCCGAAAAAAGTTTGCGCGACCAAGACACCCGGTTTGTGAATTATTCAGCATCCTAATGGACGAATAATGCTATGCGACGCCTACGTTACGAAGCGTCAAAGAGAGATTAGAATCCATTTTACTGTGTCGGCTCTCGTGACGGTTTTGCTGCCCAAGAGACTTCATTCATTTCACGTCATCTAATCGATCTTTCGACTTCTGGCGTCCAGAGAGTAAAAGTCTTAAATCTCTCACCCTCGTCTTATCGAATTGATTTTTAATATATAAAAATCAATTATTTTGATTGCTTTTTGCTCGATTGTCGATTGAATAAATCGTTTCTTTTCGGATTAAGTAATTTATATTTATAACATAATTTACACATGAGTCTCTACTGTCGATCTTGAAAAGTAATTAAGTGCGCAAATCGTTACTTTCGTCTATTCGATAATGCGCGCGTTTTTTGTAATTGATTTTATGTAACGTCGTATATCAAGTACGTCATAATAGCATTTTATGTGAAAATAAAATTTACAAAAGAGAGCAAAATTTTGCTCTTGATTTATGTATTATATAATCTATAAGTGTAACGCGCGTAATATATTAATGCGCCGAATAAAAAAACAAAAAAAAAAAAAAAAAAGTAACTGCAGTATTTCTGAAAGCGTTGCGCTATCGAGGATCAGATAGTGCGAAGAGACGAGCTGGCGAATATATAAATCATTCTGAATTTCTCTCTCTTAATTCTCCAAAGGAAAGATCTTTCCTTGCATTTTCTTTATGGAGCGCCTATGTCGCGCTCATTCTCTCTCTCTCTCTCTCTTTTTCCTTATATACTTTTCTCTTACCTTCCATTTTCAATCTTCTCCCGGCAGCCGATCTTGGCAAGCCGAAGTCTTTCAATCCCTTTTTCGTCAATTATTCACAGCCATTTACCCTCGGTTCTTCTCTCATCTCTTTTTTTCTCCATTTCGTGATTATTCGTAGGTTTTCGTTGTATTTTTCGTATTGCAATCTCGTCTCTGGCACACCTCTGGCGTTTCTATGATTTCTGTGACTTTGTATGCATTTCATGCAGTTTAATGTTAAATTCTACACACACACACACGTACGCATCTTCCTGGGATATTATATTGTCCAAAATATATGGTATAAATATATAATAGTCTTTTGTAAAGATTATAAATGTATAATTTAAATTTAATTTCTTTTTCCATTTTTTTCTTAAATAACTTCCCAAACAATTTAAGCTTTCTTTTTTTTTTTTTAATTTAAATCTCTCTTGCTGTTTATCTCGTTTCTGCAGATTATATCTCATCTCGCGCAGCGAGAATGTGTATAATCAAGAACGCGACGCCGCCAATAATTTGCCTCGACTATTTTTGCCGACATAGCTGCGCATTTTTCCCGGCAATCATTGGCGTTTGTTCGCACAGAAGCATAGCCATTACGCAACGCTATTCTGTTCCAGCGCGAGTAGGTTTTTTCTTCAACCGTATGATTCCTCGGGCGATGCGAAGGGATAAAACGAAGAGATGTCAAGACGTACCTTTTCCTCGAAATTGCCTATCGTAAATCATCTTTCATATTTCGCTCTTTTCCGCTTCACTGTTATTGTTGAGAAAACTGTAACCGTGTGTATTGTATTCTGCGATGTTTGAACGTGTTCATGAGTGTATGTGTGTGTGTGTGTATGCGCGCGCTTATACATTGAATGTATTCTCGGCGTTTAGCGGTTAAAAATGGCGGTATTCATATTTGCATTACGTATATTGTTGACAATCTAGTTATATATCGCGCGTCGTGTTTGAAATGCTCCTCGCAAATCCACGCGCGTCGGATATTTGCGAGAAAATATTTAGACGTATAAATATAAATACCGAAAGTGACAGTCTGTTTTTTTTTTGTTTTTTTTTTTTGTTTTTTTTTGAACGGAAACGCGCGAGAAAGCGCGCTCGTATATTTGCGCAAAATGTGCGAGGGATTATTTGTCTCCGTAATCGTGAAATATTTCGTCGTTGCGCAAAATGTATCCTTTCGCGAGGAAGAGCTTTCGCCAACAAGCGCTTGGCTCGTTATTCCGCCACGCTGCGCTCAATAGTGACCTATACTACTTGGAGGGCATTGTGCGGTTGAGCTTCGGTAGAACGGAATGTGCAATGAATTAGTCATTAGCAGATCCTTCGTCTTGCTTCACACACAGTCGCGCGTTTACCGTCACTTGTTAAAGACGGGATATGTTCAATTATTAGTTGAACACATTTATTTGAAATTCCTTTTGCGTGCGAACAAATTATTGCGCGTGCCGGATGACCGACTAAATATAATACTATCCGATTAGAGAACGATAATAATCATGAAACATATAACAATGCGTATGTCAATAATTATTGTATATATTAATGTGTGTTGTATATAGGTCATATTTTAATATTGTTGAAACTCTAGATGTACACGCATTGTTGTTTATAGTTTTTGTTTCGATATTACAACGCGCTGTGAGAAAATGTCAAAACATATTTGCGCGCGATAATTTTAAATGAAACAATATACATATATATATATATATATATCGAGATTTTGGCGAAAAATATTGCGATATCGTTGGCGGAAGGTCAGTTGTTTTATGGCTCGACTATGCGCTATATACATATACCGCGGAGAGATTCAATGTTCCAGCAGATAACGTACTGTCGCCGGAGGAGTCGCGGCGGCTTCATTTCCATTGCAAATCTTTATTGCCTCGACGTGGCTGCAGGTCAGTTTTATCAGAAACGCGGAGTCATTCTTTACCGTATCGCGTTTTCATGAAAACGAGACCGGACCACCGCGCTCGTTCTTTTGGCGTCGCAATCGATTTATCCAGCCGAGAGAGATGTGCTTTTATATCCTATATACATACGCGTCTCTCTCTTGTGTGCTTTCTTATTATTTCTATCCCCGCTTATATCTCGACGTCTCTTCTCGGTTTACGGTTTATCGTCACGTCGTTCATAAACGCGGCAGCGCAATATTCGAGCTCGATTAAATCTCAAATCCCGCGTGCTGTTTTTTTTTTTTTTTTTTTTTTTAACAAAATATACGTACATTTCAAGAATTGAGAAGAAAACAATAATAAGCGACAAATTGTGTCGTTTTCTATAATATATCGCGAAATGAAGTCGCGCGCGAGAGAGAGAGGAACTTTGAAAGCGCGACGAGAGATGCGCGCTTCATTCGTGCCACTTGAACATCAAATAACTCGCGGGGAGAGAAACGTCGGGTTGTAAACAATTGATTTAGCAAAGTCGTTCGGTGCGGAATCGTGCCGAACGCAATATCCCGAGAGAACTAGGGGGGAGGAAAGCAATATTCCCGCCGATGCTCATATCTCTGATTCGCGCAGACATGCACAAGACAAGTACGCACTGGTCGAAGAGTGATCCGTCACAACGCTCGAAACCCGCGTTGATACGAGCATAAAAGAGGGAGTTATTGGACTTGGCGTGCGTCCCGCTGTATATTCCTCGCGAATGTGTTCGTGACCCAAAAGAGAATATAAGAATATATCATCTTCCTTATATATCCGAACTGTCATCTCGTTGTTCGGAGATGGCGCCCGAAAAATACGCACACGCGCGCGGAATACAGAAAATAATGTTTCCCAGGTTTTTGTTTCTCAGATTTTTCGCCGTTGTAGGATGACGTTAATCGGATTTTTTTTTTATCCTCCTGTCACGTAAAAGTACATGTGAAAATAGAGACTTTCTTAACCGGGGGCGGCCGAAGCTGCGCTTCTCTTCGTATATTATTTTCGTAACCAAAAGGTTGATTCTATATATCGTTTGCAACAAAGTAGGATGTGAAAGGCAAGATGGAGAAGCAAAAGAGGGGGATTGAGTACACAAGATTTTTGGCTTAAGACTTTGGACAATCTTGAGCGGCTTCGCTTTATCCTCCGTCGGGATTATTCTACGAAGCAGGCATTACTCGAAGAAATGCGGCGAAAGTTTTGCATCCGGAGCAGCACGCAGGCGCCGAGCGAAGTTTTCGCACCTGAAATGTTTCTCGGCGGTTCCCGACATCCTCTCTCCGAAACTTACCGGAAGTTTTCGATTAGTACGCGCCACGACACATATCCGCGAACTGTCTCGTCGGATATCGAAGTCATTTCTCATAAGAGAGGAACACAAGTTTTTAATACCCTCGTTAAGAACATTGAGAACACGCGCTAATTGGCGGCGCGCGGTGATAAAAAGTTTTCAAATATTATTTTCTCAATCAACATTTATAAAATTTTCACTCAGCGAGTTTTTTGATTTGTTTGTCTCGTGATCAGCGAAAACACGTGAAAAGATTTAACAAACGTCTCTTTGTTAAATAACGTAATCTCACATATGTTGTTTTTTACAAGCACAGTTTTTCTCTTGTAAAGATTAGACGTACAACGCTAATAAAATAAAATACATTCTTTGTTTATCGATAGTCTCGCCAAGTGCTTTTCTCTAATCGCATCATATTGATCTCGTAAATCATCGGAAACACACTCGAACATATGTTCGCACGAGTAAAAAGAGTGGCGCTTGATGTTCGGCTGGATATTATGGCGTTTTATTACCTCCTCAGGATTGGGTCAAGCTTTCTGACGATAAGACATCGGTGAGAGAGAGGGTTCCCCGGCGAAGGCATAGAAGCGATTCGAGTGGATCATAAAAACGGGCGAAGAGAAGGAGGGGGAAAAGGGGCGGATTGATATTAACGTTGCGAATCTGCGGCTGCACTTTGCAGGCAGCACGCGGACCCACGAAGCCACAATAAGCCATTGTGGATGGGCAAAGTAATTTCCGATATCGACCGATAAATTCAAATGTGCTGCTCTCAAGCAGCCATCGAGGCGCCACGCCCGCGGCACGTGCGTCGACAGAAAATCGTTAAGGATGCGGAATAGCGCCGACAAAAAGGACTTGTAGCGGTCATAGAAGTCGCCGGAAAAGAGCGGCATTTGAAATCGAACGGGCGTACACTACGCGCGTTTTGTCGTCATTTGCTGGCTGAAGCACGTGACGTATCGTGTTCTCTCTTGTGTCGCACATTTCTTAAAAAAAAAAAAAAAAAAAAACACCGAATTACTCACAGCGGACGGTTGTTATTTATTTGAAATATTCTTATTTTTGCTTTTTAATTCTCGCGAGACTTGTCACATGATTACTTATTATGATTGATGTAAGCAATAATATCATCAATATTCTATGCAACCGTGCG